TTTTTATTCACCCCCTTTCAGCTCTAAATAAAACCCAGCGCAAGTTTAAAAAAATCAAATGGACTCCACATTTTTGTATTGCAATCACTTTGTGAATTCATCTGTTCTGTGAAGGCAGACGAACATGACAGGCAGGTCAGGAATCAAGACACTGAGAAGTTTGAAGCAGGTTTTGGTTATGAAACAACATCCCACACTTTATTTTTAATTCCTGTTTTCCCAGGTAGGCTGAACAAGGCTCTGTGTTTTAGTTAAACATATAACTATATATATATATTTGTATGTAGGAAATGAAGATGAAAAAAAGATGAGCATTAGGTCATCTGTTGTGGAAATTTTAAGCAAATTTTGCACAAAAAAACAACAAATTGGCTAAAGAAGCCCTAAAGAAGCCCTTTCTGTGACTCAATATTTCAACACTCTGACTTTCTATGACATTTAAGTAATTAAAACACCTGATTTGAACTAATACGGCCAGAGTCGGTTTAAGGTAAGGTGTGAATACTTTTGCTAGGCTAAGGTAATAACTTTGCATTCAAGTTTAAATAAAGTAAAAATCTGACTGATTCAGCTTTTATACTCTTAATAACTTATGGATGTTTGAAGAATATATAAAAAACTACTTTATCTATAAAGACAGGCCAAATACAACAAATTTCTTTAGTTGTGTTTAGTTTGATTTGCTTATTTTAGTACAATAAAGAGAAGTTATATATACAATATCTGTAATTGTAAGCACAGGATTTTATATATTTTAACAAACAAATTGGGTACACTTATTTTTAAAAATAATGTTAATTAATATTTTTATGATATTTTGTTTTGTGTTGATCTGAATGGACTGTTCACAACTGAAGAAGTTTCTTATTTCACACGTAAAGAAATCCTGCAGGTGTAAAATTTGTGTTTGTCTCAGCATTGGGACCATTCTGTCTAAAGACCAACAACATTTACTGCTGGTGTAAACGAGTTGCTGAGAGTTGAAACTGTTTTTTTCAAGCAGCCTTTGTTTATGAGCAAGGACTTCAGCTAAAGTGCCTGTGGGAAATCAGTCAAGCGGCTGTGATTGTGTCGGTCCCCTACGGCTCTTAGAGAAATTTGCTGCCTTGACTCAAGTGACATGAAGGACCACGCGTCAGTTTTCCTTCTAGACGATCTTTGCACCTGCTGCATCAGAAAAAACAATGGAAATGACTCAGCATGAGTGTTGCTGGTCTTACCTGAAGTCATTGTTCTCTCTTGCTGGCCCCTCAGACTGAGTCTGGCTCTGAGTTGCGGTCCCAGGTGAGGCGGTCTTCTGGGGCTGAGGCTTCAGACTGGGTTTGTGACTCAGGCTTGGGGTCAGGTTGGGGCTAAGAGTCGGTTTAAGGTAAGGCTGCGGGCTCTGGGGGTTGCTCAGAAGGAACGAGGGCTCCGACGAGGAATGCGACATTGTGTTACCGCTGTGAGGAGCCGGAATGCAAACAGGAATCAAATCTATTTCCTTAGACGATTCCAGTGGGACTTTGGCTGGCTTTGAGGCTGTTCTAGTTCCAAGAGCAGTCGGTCTGGGCCGACTTATGCTTGACAGTGGAGGAGTGGGTCGATCCTCCCCTGACTGCACCCGGCCTGTCCCTTTGGTAGGCGCCTGTGTGAGCTCTGGTCCTAACTGTGTTTTGAGCCCCTCAGATGGCTTGAGTACACGTGGCTCCGGCACTGAGGGCTGTGGAAGTAAAGCTGGACTCACTCTGATCCCTGCGCAGGGTCCAGGCAGCATGCTGGGACCACAAGGGTCTGAGCTGAGCTGTTTCTGTGGAAGGTGATCCATCAGCCTGCAACAAGATGCACAGAGCAGTTCTCAAAAAGAAAAGCCATGCAAGTCTGGCTCGCCATCTCTTTTTATGTGATCCTCTATAGTCTAAAGGGACACGCTAATAAAACCTTTAAGGTGACAGTTATGTGTGCAAATAATATTTTATCAATGAAATCAAAGCAGTTCATCAAAATATAGCAAAATTACATCAATATGGAAAGATGTTAAATATAATTCAACATCTTTCCATAGTGTCAGTTACTCATTGAGACTATTCATTCACGTTTTAATGGTTTCTTAAGTGCTTTTATCAAAAACTCTGCCACAACCAGCCCACTGAAGAACTTCATAATCCTGATATGAAAAATGAAAATGAGTTTGACAGCCTGGGACCAGAAGCAGCGCATGATCACAAAGTGGAAGTGGAAGTTAAATGATGCATTGTTTTAAAATAATTTTACAAACACAAATCCAGAAGGGATTTGTTGGCTGTGCAGACATGTTCACAAACTCTTGGGTTGTTACTTTAAAGAGCTGGAATTTACTGCAATTAAACCTGTAAAATTAAACCATCAACAGACGTGTTTGCTCATGTTTGAACAAACTGCAGAGCAGTTGGGTTTATTCTGATATTTAAAAAAAAACTCTATTAAATTGGTCGGACTGCATGTCATCTAAGCAAAGAAAGTTATTGCACCATGACACCATGTGACGTTCAAGAGTTTAGGAGATTTAAAGGGGTTGGAATTTTGTGAAAAATAAATTGCATCATATTCTATGTTCCGGCACCTGCATCACTGGGCTGTAGCTAACTTTTCATTTGAATTGTTTTCTTACCTATTTAAGTGCAGTTAAATTTCCTGGTGATGCTCATTAATCCTTGACCCCTTCATTGATGGATTGTTTCTGATAAGTGCAAGTTGCATAAGGACACACAGCTGTGCTGCTGATAACAGTCCACTTCAAAGCCTGTCAGACAGGCAGGTCACAAGGAAGAGGATGGATTACATTAAAGGAGGGCAGCAGACCTTCCTCCATTTTACTGTCTCGGAGCCCAACACAGAAATCATACACCTCTCCTTCAATTATTCAACATATGCAAATGTGTTTGTCCGTCAAACAGAGAAACTCAGCGCTGGCGTCGCTGAAAGAGTTAAAAGTGATCAGACACGTTTGGATTCACTTTCAAAGTCAAAACTTTCACGGCCGGCATGAAGTCGGCCTTATTTAATATTCCAAAGCCATGAGTCTGCAAGTCTGAGCAGCAGGTTTATGTTACAAGATGACGGAAACGTGAGACAACACAAGCCGGAGCAATAAGCGCTGAGGATCACATCGAGTCTTACCTTTCGTGCGTATTTTTAAGTCCAAGGTGAACCACAAGGGTGATATCGCGAAGGAACTGAAAACAATGACATGAATCTCGGTTTCCTCCCGTATAGCACACACCGACCCAAGACACCAGACTGTCACCAACAAGCCGGGCTCGATCAATGGACCGTGGACGGCCGACGTCTCGTCACGGCGCAATCAGGACAGGACAGAGAGCCGTCACGCGTCGTGCGCCCCGAACCGTTGCATGTTGCTCATTCGGGCTGCACTAAGACAAGTGATTACAAAAACAAAATGCTGAATCCACGCTGCATCACCTTGATCCTGCATGCTGTCTGAGCGCAGCAGCGCAGCTGGTCGCAGCATCACGGCTGTACCTCCACCTCACCGACCCGGCTGCACCTCTCCATCCTCCCTCCATCCCTCCCTCCATCCATCCCTCCATCCCTGCTGCTGCTGCTGGGGGCGGGCAGAACAGGGCAGAGAAATTTAAAGCTGCCAAAGTACAGCCGGACAGAAATAACAGCGCATCTGTCCTGCGGGTTGACGCATTAATCCGATAACTCTGCGTCACTGATAGGCAGCATCGATCAGCATATCAATAAACTATGATTTCCTGCTTTGGATGTAGTAGCGGAGGGAACTTTTACATACCAGGGTGAGGTGCTGTGTTTAAACGAGCACTTTTGAGCAACAATCTGCAACATTAAAACAAAATCGGTTGTATTCCTGCATGTTGGCTGGTGACATATTGATCACCATGATGTTCAAATCATAAGGGCAACTTATGTTGCTGGGGGTTGATGTTCAGATGCATCCAATGGCAATTTAATACTTCAGAACTGAAAATCTATAAAATCATGCAAACATTCGTCAAGTTTCATTCAAACTGTTTAAAATATAAATGAAGAACAGAGGGAGTGGAGGCAAAGATTGCATTTATATAAGTCAATTATCAATATTATGTAGAAATATCTCTGCACATGCATGAAATGCGTTGATAAATTGGAGTGGGTCAAGGTTTTATTTTATTAGTATCTCCATATGGATGTATTCAGATAGCAACGAGCATGTAATGATTTTCTATTTTTTTTATATCCTGCAGCCACAATACTTTGGTTATATTACATTTCACCTCCAATCCAATGCACAGAATATTTTAAGGACACAAAGTGTCTGATTTTTGTGGAAAATTGATTTGTAAATTATGCTCCAAAAACCAAAAACAAAAAGAGAAAGGCTTTAATTTAAATGTATGAAATGCCTCCCCTCATCAAAACCTGCACCAAAACAACTGTGAAAAATGTTTTTTTATTATTTAATTATTTATTTATTTATTTATTTGCATCAACCAAATTTATGCTTTAAATACTCTGAGGAATCAAAGATGATCTGAAGAAAATTAGAATGTTAAAACAAGATTTTAATATCAAAGACACATTTTAATTGTCAGAGTGAGCATATTTTAAAATCCTTCACGCTTGCTGTCTAAAACTGAGGACAATCGAATTAATAATTAATTACATTTTAATAATGAATCAAATTAATGTATTCAATTTATTATTATTATTATTATTATTATTAAATTTAATAATGTTTCATTTCAAAACCTTGAGTCTTTTTCAATAGTGGTAAAGCAGTTTAAAAAAATCTAAATTTCCAAGACAGTTCTACAGGAAGCACAACTTATATTCTTCTGTATATACAGTCAGTATATATAATAAAAAAAATAAGTTTGAGCTGTATGAATTACACTTTTTATTTCTCAGCATCTGAACAATGCAGTTTACACATCTCAAACCAAAGTTTATGGAAAAAATATAAATTTTCTTAATTGCTTTTGCAGGAAAAAAACGAAGAAAAAAAACAAGTTGCATAATGAAATAAGTATTTATTTATCTGACGCACAGACTGCAGCGAGTCCTGGACAGCATCATCATCATCATTATCATGAAGGTCATGCTCAGACTCACAGTGGGATTAATGCAGATGTGTAATTTCAGAGGAATGAACTGACCCTAAGCACCAGCTGTTCCCTTAAATCACACAGACAGCAGCAATTCCCTGCAAACTAATACCAACCATTTGTCACCGTTCGTTCACAGTGAAATGGATCGAATGGTAAATATTTATCTGGACACGATCAGAAAGTCATCCTTTTGACCTCAGGCTCTCTCCGGGCGTTTATCTGGAAAGATCACAGTGACTCATGGGCTTTCGGAGACTTAAGGGCGCTTCTTGGTTTTGACGAGGCCCTTCTCCACCAGGCAGCGGTAAAACTCCTGGATGTACGTGTACACACACTTCCAGTCGGGCTCCTTCATCCGCACCAAGTCCTCAGCATCCAGGAGAGGGGGGCAGCCTGCCAGCCTCCTGAGGACAGGATGTCAACACAGATAACTCAGACAATCCGCTCTCTGGAGACTACATTTATTCCTGTTTCACTTTAAGAGATGAGAGCTCACTCTGCAGTGCTGAAAGCCAGCTGGAAGTTGTCTCTGGGCTTGTAGGGGTTCAGGGTGGAGTATTCGAACGCGTCTGGGTAGAATCGGTGCACCAAGGCGCAGAAGGCGATGCCGTCTTTCCAACTGGATGAGAAGTTCTGGATGTCTACCCCCTGTTTTAGCCACACGCAAGAGAGAGGAACCGGTTTTCAAGAGCCGTGGCCAAATGGGTTTCAGGGACAGAACTGTGCATATGGGCAGTAAATCAGCGCAAAAGCTGGCTGGATGGAGGTTTACCTCATATGGCTCTGTTTTGGCCCTGCACCAGTCCAGAAGCATTTGTTTGACATTTTTAGCGTTGGGTGGTTCAGCAAAGGAACATTTCTGGGCTGAGACAGCAGCAGGACCGGCCCTGCAGAGGAGAGGAGACAGAAAACAGCCATTAATTATCTCACTTTCAAAGAAGAGGAAGCAGAAATGCCATATTTTGACAATTATGTTACAAAAACAATCTGATTCCTCATGTCTCTCACCTGCCTGTGGACTTGCTGATTGGAGTGGAGGATGACGGCTGACAGGCTGACTCTGAAACCACAACAGATTCATTTTCAGCAATGATGTAAAGCAGAAAACAGTGACATCAGACTTACTGTTCACCGACGGCTGCTGGTTCATAGATGCTCTTCCGACGCTGACAGCTCCTCCTGTTGTCCCTCTTTTATTCAAGCCCTGCTGTTTCAGGTCTTGGTGCCTCACCCCGCGCTCCTGCTCCCTTTTTTCTGATCGGAAAAGTTGAACTCAGAAAAGTCTGGTGTGCATGCCGCAAAATGAAATCATCTAATGTTAGAAAACATTAGATGACAACAGCAACATAATGAGCAAAGCAGACAAGTCAGGGAGAGAAAAATAAATCAGAGAAGCAACTGAAGTCCTTTGTAACTCTAGAGGAGCTGCAAAGATCCTCGGATCTAGAGAGAAATTCGACCAACAGGACAAATATTCATCATTCTTTCCCCAAAGAGAAGGACAAAGTTGATAGAAAGTGAAAATAAATCTCCTTTTAAACTGGGTTGGAACTGTTTTTTCCAGCTGTACGATGACTCTTAGCATACAGCAAGACTTACAATGAGATAGTTTAGATAAATGCATGTTTACATGCTGGAAGGGCCCAGTCAAAGTCCAGAGTTAAATTAAGAGGAGAATCTGTGGCAAGACGAGAAAAACTGTAAAGCAACTCTATTAAGAGATCAACTCTATTAAGAGATCAAGCTAAAGCTTGTGGCTTTTATCCTTCATCATTCACTGAAGGCCACAAGCTGAATAAATCAGGTTTCAAAGTGTTTCAAATGTCACTGAAGTCTCATCAAATTGCCTTCATGCACCAAGTAGGTGAAGATTGGACCTAAACCTGAGCTTAAAAATGTATCTAGGTTTATAATGCTGGGAGGGACACTCTGAAAGACCTGCAGCCAAACATGTTTCTACAAAGTACTGACTCAAGTGACTATGATACAAATAAACAATAAACCTTGTGGATTTTAATTTGTGCTTGTATGATTTTTACCTCTCTTTTTCTTGAGCAGATCCCTCAAAGCAGCTCGAATCATCCGCCTCTCTTCAAAATCTGCTGCACTGTCCAGCTGCAAGCGGAAAACAGTCACTAAATAACTCTGTTATCCCAGTTTATCCAAAGAAAAATTAAGTGTTGTCGTTTGTTAAAGGATAAAAAGATATAATAAAAGTCTCCCAAAAATGCCAGAGACTCGGTATTTGCATGAATGTAATTATTTTTTTTTTTAATGGACTCACCATTTTGTTGAGAACATCTTCATCCTCAATAGAGACCAATTCCTCACTGGTCAATGGCGTTGACCCTTCATTTTTTGACTCCATGTCTTATTAGCAAACCTGATTGGCTGAAATAACAAAACAAATATGCAAACAAACACATTTCTGAAGGATATCTTAGTGGCAAGAACCAAAACAAAACAAAACTGAAAGCATCTTTCTGCCATGTAAAAGAGGAGAAATCCAAAATATCCTAACTTCCCCAAATTCAATTATATATATATATATATATATATATATATATATATATATATATATATATATTTTTTTTTTTTTTTTTTTTTTTTTTTTTTATATATTGGGAAGAAGTGTAAACAAAGCAGGAAGCACAGATTCATTTCTAGCTGAAATATGTACAGCAGCTTAAAAATGAGCAGCTGTGTGACAAATTATTAGTCCAACTGAAGCGCTGCTTATTGCAGCAGAGCAACTGCACTAAACAAGACCCTTCAGCATGTACAAATATAGTAATGCTATGGAAGAAGCTGGTTTCTAAAACAATCTCATAGCAGACCTAAACAATTTGTCGAGAGTCTGACTCAATATTTTTAGCTTGATGTCATAAAATGAGGAAAACAACATGGTAGCATATAAAGAAATGTAATATTTGAATAGCTATTGTGGTTAACTCACCTGTTATCAGGATGCAAACCAGCTCCTTTGACGACAGCGTTTGGATGCAACACTCCCGTCTCGCTTCTTTCTTCTCTGTTGAACTTCGTGCAGAAGATCACAACTTACATCTCAGTGCTTCATAAAGATGCTTGTTGAGGGAAGAGAGAGTTCAGATTGCTTATGTGAACCTCCCAAAATAGGATGAAGGAGAAGGAGGAGGAAACTCTCTGAGCTCATCCATCTTTGTCACCTCCACTCTGAATCTTTGCTTCTCTTGTCACAGGATCCAGGATGATGTGATTCCAAAGACATCAGGAATGTCTTCGGATCAGTGTTTTAATGTTTTTGCATGAATCTTTTTTTTTTTTATTACAATTTAGCTTCAGAGTGCAGCAGCAGTGTGGGATGTGAAGGGTTAACAGGGGCAAAAAGTGAGGAGCACTGCCTTATTCAGGCAAAAGGCTGAACAGGAACTTTGTTTACAGAAGTGGAGGAATCTTTAGGCGGACGGACAGAGCACATATTTGGCATTCAAACACGAACATCTGCCGGGAAACGTCGGTAAAATATAAAAACATCAGCAGAGATTGTTTAGTGGTTTAAAAGTTAAGGGACATTCAGGCGTCAGGTTAGTAGGCCTGAAACAGATAAACTGCGCCATCTTGTGTTGACCTCGTAGAACTGCTAGAATATCTTTTGTTTTCAGACAGCCTGACTTTGCTTTCCTGGAAACCATCACACAGGGTGAGGCAGCGGCAGAACCTCAGGCTTTAGTATCCAGATAACATGAATGGAGATTAGAACATGACGTATTAAATCTTACAAGTGTGGTGTGCATTTGCATTTATCTCTACACGAGTCAGTGTAAAGTAGTTAGTAGAAATACATGACTGTATTTATAGTTTCACAACGATAACTACAACTTTCACAAGCTCAGTCGGGAAGCTTTTATGCTCATCACAGATTGTTGTATTTAGCGAGAGCTACAGACTTTGACTAGGCCACTCTTAACATGAGTACACTATGATCCAAGCCGTTTTATTGTAGCTCTAGTTATGCTTCCAGACTTTCTTGAACCCCCCAATTTTATATATTTTAATTCTGCAGTGAATTTCAGTAAAGGACAACTAACTTTTTTTTGCTTTGTGGCATCAACTTGAACTAAATGGTAACTTATTTACTTCATATCCAACTTACCCATCAATTTATGAAGCAACATAAGGAAACAGCCATTTTCACAATTTATTATTTTTTGAAGCCAAAGAGTGAAAATACTTCAGAAAGTTCACCTAAATCAAAGCAGGAAAATTCATTCACACCACATTAGTGATGGACTTAAGTTCCTTTATTATTATTATATATTATGTTATTGCAATAACATATATAACTTATAAACAACTTATAAGTTATTATAAGTTATTCCAGTCCACATGATTTGTTTATTTTTTTCCTCATCTGCAGGATGTCCAAATAAGGCATGAGACAAAGATGGTTCATTCTTTAAGCAATTGAGTTTAAACCAGCCATTAAGGGCTACAAAATACATAAATATAATAAAATAAATATGTACATCCAACAAGCTTTGCACTCAAAAACAAATATGTACAAAATGAACTATAGGCTTTGAAGGCAGAAACACTGCAACCTGTCAGTGTAACACAAGCCCCCAAACTGTTATCCATTTAACATAATATTAATAAAAACATATGTTGACCTTGATATGTAAATTTATTAGTTTTTAATGCAACATTATGTTGATTTTTTTTTTTTAATCTTGATTGAATATTGAGTTCCAGTGTCTTATTAAACAGCTGAGACATCCAGGGAAACCAGTGGAAATGTGTTACATGTACAGAATCATTACATGCACTGCATATCTAAAATAAATAAGACAGTTTTTAAACTGAATTAGGGTTATAAAGTAACAGCGGTCCTACATTTTTTATCTTAATGATTCTTGTATTAAATGTATTTATAAATGGCATCTTGGCAATAAAAATATGTCATTTTTTCTTAGGCAAAACATAATGAAACTGATGGAATTTTCTTTTTATATATATATATATATATGTAAATATATTGTGGAGTTGCTTTGTAGGATCTTAAAGTCTGAACAAGGAGCCACTGACCCAGCTTGTAAAACAACAAAGTAAATATTTGGCATACCAAACATGCTGAATTCAGAGAGGATCGCATGCAGTCTGGATGCTTTCACATAATGGAGAGCTTAGAAAGAGACAAATGCTTACTAGTATTAACTGTATGACACTTGAAGAAAGCAAACAGCATTTTCAGCCAATGTTTGCCGAGACCCTCATAAAAAAAAAAAAAAAATCTATATTTTTATTTCGAACTCCCAAAAAAAAGCATCAGTGAAAAGAATAAAGCTAAAAATAAAACATCATTCTTCTTTTTCTTGACCTTTTCCACAGGAGGAAGACGAGCTAAAGTTGAGCGACTCTCCTTAGAGAGCTTGTGACACTAATTATCAAAGTACGCTGCGAGGAAGACGACGTGCTGCTCATAATTGGACTAATCCAACAGAGACTTCTTGAGAACACAAAGTAGGGCTACAGAAAGGTTCATAGTGGAGAACAAAACACGCAGCTTCGGCCTCTTAGTGAGTATGTGCTTCAGTGGAAAAGAGGCGACTCATTGCACAGGAAATTTCAGCTCAACAACACCCGGCTCCTCCTTTACGCAACAACAAAAAAGCTGCCATAAAACCTCAACCCCTGTCCAAAATGGAACAAGGCAACAGTACCATAAATATAGCTTCTTAGTACAAACTTGAGTTTAATCAGATTCAGGGCCAAAGTGCTTCCAGAGTCATGCAAACCTGACCAACCGTCCCCGAGAACACTGATTACAGCCCTCTGGAGCTGACGAAGCTTTTCACAGTGGAGTAGTGTGAGACAGAGTCGGTAACTTCAGCGGTACCAAACTGCCCGGTGTGCTCATGCACGCATGTGGCTCTATAGGCTAGATGAGGAATTAATGTGAACCTCTTCCATGAAGGGTCATGGTGGGTTTTTTTTCCTGTGCAGACTCTGCGTGAAGAATATGAATGTGTTGGCACAGGGAAGGAAGGAAATGTTCTGCCATTTATATGACACAAATTACAGTGTATCCAGTGATAATTTTTTCTTCATTTTCTTTATACTTTCAGATCAGTCCACTTTTTGTGGATACTTTGTTTTCTCAAACCCCTCCTCCTTAACCGAATCCCCACCAGACTCTGATTTGAAATCGGTCACTTCGAGCTTAGCCTTGCGTGCGTCCATGTAGCTAACGATGAACTCGGAGTTCTGATAGATGAGCATGCCGGACAGCGTCAGCACGGCGCCGGCGCAGCTCAGAGCGGACAGCTCGCTGCCGAACAGCAGCTGAGACAGCAGCAGGTTGCCGACTACGTTCAGGTTGCCCAGGATATGCAGGGTGACAGCAGAGGTGAGCGTGATGACGCAGCAGCTGGCCAGGTTGTACATGACCGAGCCCAGGCAGCTGAGCAGGATGAAGACCCACAGGTGGCGGTCGTAATGCAGCGGCGACTCCAGCATGGCCCAGTTTTCCAAAGCCAGAGCAGCCACAGCCAAGATGCAGAAGCTGGGAATGGACATCAAGTAGAGCAGGAAGACAGAGTTGATCTTCTCCTCCTGAAGTAAAATGCCTTAAAAAAAGAGAAAAAAAATTAAAAATATCTGTCTGTCTGACTCCACACAACATGTATATGAACTTGGGTTACATCCCCTTCTTAATCTAAAGGGTTTTATATGATATTCACCCATCTTTGCAACTATAAGACCTTTCACTCTTTAACTCTTTTGGAAATGCTATCAACAAGGTTTTTGAGAGTTTGTTGAAGTTTTTGACCATTCCTAAAATGGTCAATAACTTCATTTAGCACACAGATGTGTAAAAGCTATTCTCACACTTTTTTCAGAACAGATTGTTCATAAAAATGATCAGGGCTAGTTTTTGCTTATGTCATCTGAAGGTCGAGTCTCATGATCCTGCTGTACATAAACTGTACTTTACTAACTGCGTTTAAACAGATTACTAAGAGATACTAGAGTTTTTGATAGAAAACACTTGTTTCTTGTTAAAGATTGTAAGGATCTTTTAGTTCATCAATAAAAACTTTTACTTCCTGTGTCAAACTGGGTAGAGTTTGACACAGGAATAGCTGTCCTGTCCCAACTATTATGGGAATGTTTTGGTTTAGGTGACTTTCATAACTGTTTACTTTGTTTTGATAGTCAAGCCATGAAGAACTGTAACAGTCATGTTGAGAGCAGGAATATTGCTGGACATTATGCAAAGCTCCTCTTTGAAAGCCATGTTTCATGTCTCTGAGTCATCATGGACAAATGTTCCTCTGTAGTCCTCTCTTGGAGGAAAAAAACAACAAAGGCACTTTTAGTTTTTTTGTAAATAGTTTGTTTCTGTTTCTTTGTAGAAAGATTTTTTTTCTACACATTTTTCTCCCAACTGTGCTTTATTCTTTTTCTCTTTACAGGCGTGTCGCTGGCAAAATAAAGCTGACATTGCAGATTTCTGACATGTTACAACCAGAGTGATCTCACTGAAAGCTTGCCTGCAGCTCACCAACTGCTGAAGAGTCATCAGAAGTTAATTTGACGTTGAAACAAAAACTCGATCTGAAGTGGGACAGAGCAACGGAATATACCGAGAGGAAAGTGTTACGGCCGGCCGGAGGATGAAAATAGCTACTTGAAACCTGAGACGACATCGCCGAACATCTGATTTGCTGGACTGTGTTTATATCATCTGGTCCAGAAACAACATTAGTACTTAATGTTCCTTCCTGCACTGACATAACTCAACTTAATAAAGACAACAAGAATATTTCCGCAGTCTTGTGACGTGTGTCACTGAAGCTTTCAGGGTTATGATAACCCTTTCCACGACAGGATCAAAATATGATCCTACATGTTTTAGTACCTTACATTTAAAACTAAAAATATATTACTATTACAATTTTATTATGATTTATATTCCCTAAACAACTAAAATGTTAACTCTGCTAGCATTTTTTTTCAGATTAAACCATTTAATCATTGAAATGAGGCTCCCTATTTTCTGTTTTACATAAATTAGCATGAGCAAAACTATCTGTTTGCTAAGAGCTTGAAAAGTCAGAGATCATATTTAATGACTTTCTTCAAATTTAAAAGTTGATTAGTGTGTCTTTCTGAACTAACATAGGCTGAAAAGCTGTTCGGAAAGAAAAAAAGCCGTCAGATGAAACCAGATTACAGTTTGCACTCTGTAACAAAATACATTCTGAGATATTAGTCAAGATGTTAACAATTGGATCTTTCAAATGAGGAATGACCCTATGAACTACAAAATAAGTTACAGTGCAGTTTATGGATATAAAAAAGCACTGAGCTGAGAAATTGAGATCTAGAGGCAGCTTGGAAACCAGACTTGGCTACTTGGCTCCTGTGTCAGGAGAAATGGGTTAAAAGTCCTAAAATAAAGTTGATAAAAGGATAAAACATTTGATTTAACTCAGAGCTAAAAAGACAGTTCTATCAAATGCATGTAAACTTCAAGAGAGTAATAATGACTATCTTTTTATGTTAATATGGGAATTTCAGAAATAAAATTATTTTTGGTAGTCCTAACTGGTTAGAAACAGTGCTGCCCTTTTGTATTTGTGCAGAAACATTTTGTTTCATTTGTTACAACTTAAACAAGCCAACAATAAGCCAGCTACAACAAGGGCTTTATCTAGTACTTTTGTAGAAACGGATATCTGAATTATGATGCTCACATTGTAGGCACAAATGCCATCAATACACTTAAACAAGCAGAAAAATGTAATGTATAAAGTACATTTGATGGATACTTTTGAAACTTGTTATAACTGAAAATGAGATTATTCATTGTAAGATTTTGAGGCCCTGCAAAACTCTGATTTAGCAGTTCATTCATCCTGGAAACCTGAAGATCCGACTCGGTTTGCAGCAAAACATTGAACCTCCTTGCATGTTTTTAAATTCACGTCTTCTCAGACAAGGCTCACGTTGCCGAGCGTAATGACATTACAGCCCATTAATCTACTGCAAACAAACACTCATCTGTGGTGCAACACAAAACAGAAACCCTCAGCTTTAAATTAGCCGAAGCAACAAATGATTCAGCAAGAGTTCAAAACATGAGGTAATTATCAGAACAAGAGTTGGTCCTCATGACATCAGTGAACTTCGCACAAAAAGTTCAGTTTTTGTCACAATGTTTTTAATCACTTGATAAAATCTTGAATCTTCTGTGGCAACACAGCACTTTTGTTCAAAATAATTTCTTGAACAAAGATCAAAAAACACAATCTAGACTGTCACATTACACATCTTGCACAATGCGACAGTCTAGATTGTTTTTTCTGACTAGTTTTGGATCATCAAACATTAGAAACATAAGGTTAGGCTGTCAGCAGACTCGACTCACTCGCAGACGTGCAGTAATGTTTATATTATGTTCCCTAGGCAACCAGGAAGCTTCCTGCTGTACCATTCCACCTTAATGTGAGGGTGTGTCTAGACTGTGGAATGAATCATCAACTTGTTCCACAACCACAAACTGATGTGGTGTCCAGAGGAAAAATGTTCCCTGAAGTCACCGGTATGTGCATAAAGTACAGAAAGCATCTTGCTTGGGTCACTTATTTAATAAAATAAGTACTTTTAATTGTTTTATGGGGTAAAAAAACAAACAAAAAAGACTGTACTCACTCTGCTGAATGGACTTGACACCCCTCAACATGGTTGCTGCAAGCACAAAGAAGCATCCGGTCTGATCGAACTGGACTTCTCCCATGATGCTGAAGGACGCTCCCAGGCAGATGGGCATCATGGCCGTGTATTTGATGATGTGGTGCTGCTTACCCAGGATCAGAGAAGAGATGGCCAGAGTAAAGAGCGGCGTTGTAGTGTAGATCATTTGTGCAAACGACAGCTGTACATAGTTCAGACCGATGTTTCCAAAGGCGATGCTGGCACAGAAAGTCAGACTCAACAGGAACACTTTACACTTAGCGTTCGGAGTCAAGTCCTGCTCGGCGGCCCCTCTATGTCGGATCACCCGCAGCTTGATCAGCCCGTAGTCCACCACGATGGCTGTCAGCATGTGCAGCGCAGACAGCAGCAGAGGGTACCTGAAGTTGTAAACTGCGAAAATCCATTTGTTGAGGCTTGAGATAGTGGTGCCGGTCACCAGCCAAACGATGACGGCTGAGAGCAGATGGAGCATCTCTGCAAGCGGCCTCCTCCGGCTTCTGGCTTGCAGAGTCGCCTCGCGTTTTGAGAAGCCATCGTTGCTGGTCATGTTCGTAGCATGGTCCTCTCTGTAAGGCAAGCACATGTTGAGTTCGTTCTTCTCATCTCCAAAATAAATAAATAAAAAATAAAATAAAAAAGCTGTCAAGCTGGAGATTCTAAAAATAAAAACATATATAAAAATATTTCCTCTGAAACGCAGCTGTTTCCGCAACAGCTGCGTTGTTAACCAGTCTGTGTTGTCTGTGAGAGATGTGTTTTCAAGCAACGCCTAAAAACACGTGTCCCTGTTTTGGATGACAGCCGGGTTGTGTAACTCACCCTGAGTTTGTAAGATGACATATGCTTCAGTGGGAAACCACACAAGGGAAAGGAGGAGGGGACTGAACTGTTTAGGGAGGGCTGGAAAACCGTCTGTACCACGGCAAGACGGTTTGTCATTTATAGAGTGAGGCAGTCAAGATCTTCACAGTAGATATTCCAAACTCAATTCTCCAAATTTAAATTGAAACTTTCAGAAAATTTAAAAAAAAAGTGTATTCTATTTAGGTGCCTTCAAGAACTACTTTTCTGAAAAGATGGAGATGTGAAAATTTATTAGCATTTTTATTTTACACAATATGAATAAATATAAAATAAAGCCCTCAAATGATTTCATTTACAAAAGGAAAAACTGAACCATAAACTCACCCTAAGGGAAAAAGTTATTGCTCTCTAAACCTAAAAACTGATTTAGCACAAAAATTGGTGATCATCAAGTGACGATTTTCACCCATTCTTTGCTGCAGAACTGATCTAATTCTGGACTTTTGAGCATGAATTGTTGCTCATAATTACTCAAAGTTAAATAACAGATTGTGTTCGTGCTTCCTTTTCCATCTGAAACACACTCAGACACTACAACACAAAGTCTCTTCAAACAAAACCAAAATCTAATTAAGGTTTCACAAACTTGGGCTTAAGGTTTAATCTAGTCCAGGTTTGAAAAGTGCAAGTGTCGTAGTTAAAGACTATAGCTATTGACAAATTAAGTGGAACTGCCATTTTCCCAACTCGGAAGCTAACTTGAGCTGGATTATATGCGACATCGGCCTGCCATAAATCTACCGTCTCCAGGAGGGAGACTGGGCGGACTGGTTATTGTCTCGTCATGCTGTTATGAAGCCACAGGCACGAACAGAGCATGATAAAGACAGTAGTGCTGTAAACATACACAACAATTTACATATTTAATGACGGGACTGTTCCGAAAATCGCAACTTTGCTTACAACAATAAGCTTGAAAATAGTGAGGAGTTATATTTTTAGCTGCCTATTGCCTTTAAAAGGCAGCTTACCTCAGCGCCTGGTTCCGTTTCCCTCAGACAGATGATGAACAGCAGCTCGCTTGTGACTCCAGTCAGCGCAGCTAAACTTCTGCTTTCATTCACGCCTCTATGCGGCGACGGTTTCCAGTCACAACCGTTGCAGTAAAAATGTCCTACTTGGTCATAAAACAACAAAGCAGCGATGCTAACATGCTACTTCGCAGAATTGAGCAGCATTATGTAACTTGACAGGTACAAACGTTTTGCGCTAATGTTAAGCTAGTGGCGTGTTCCTGTGTTAGCTAACAGCAGGTTGTTCGCTTCAAAACATTTAGTTTCTGCTGCTTCACTTCCCGCGATGTTAGCGGCCGCTGGTCTCGCGTGAATATAAAAGCATTCTATCAACACATTTTGCCCCAATAAAAATGGTCTCTGCTTTTACCTCGTTCCTGGAGCACCGTCAGCATCTCCAGAGCTCCGCCAGTGGGAAACAGCACTGTCAGGCAACAGCCAGCAGGGGGCCACATTTCAGTTTTATTGGATGGTCTGTTTAAAGGACAATGCCACTTTAATAAAAAAAAAAAATAAAATGATGTAAAGCGCTGGAAACCCAAAAGTGGGTATATTATACTCCAGTAAGAGCAGCACTACTTCAAAAATATTTTTACTCAAATGAAAGAGAAAAGTATCCAAAAAAATTACCCAAGTTAAAAAAGGAAAAAAAGTATTTTGGTAAAAGGCTTCTTGAGTACTTAATCTGCATGTTTTATTTTTTATTTAAAATGTGTACCACCAAAAAGACAAAAAAAACCAAAAAGTAATCTGCAGATTCTGGTATATTAAAGTGTAAAATGAGGGGGAAAAGGACACAAAAACACAAATTCAGGCAGAAGAAACATTTCAAAATTACATATTTTCAATTTAATACTTGTAAAACCAATACTTAAGTATGTTTATGTGAGAACATGGTAAAATTCTTCCAGTGGCAATAGTGTCTTATGACATCCAACTAATTTGATTTCAGTCTGTGTGACCAGGCTATATTCTAGTATTTTACACACTTGTCTCAATGTTATTCAAACTTTAACATGTTCCAGCATGCTTTTTCTTCAGCAGTGGAGTCTTGTGTGGTGAGCAAGCACCATGTTTAGGAATTATTTATCCCTTTCTATGAAACATTTTTTTTCCACTTCTGTCAGAAATCTTGATGGAATCACTCAATACCAGCCAGTTTATGATACAATGGACTCAGGACTTTACACTAGTACCATCACTCACATCTCCTGAGAATTTCCTGTTGATAGCACTTGTGGAAATATAGCCATTTGGAAAATTAAATCAACACATCCTGCTTTACACTAATATATAGTGTAAAACAAAGGGATTGAATTATGTTTGCCAGTATTACAGATGAAGATACAATACTTACAAAAAATAACATTAAATTATACACAAAAGTGCATCACTATAAGCTGTCTCAACATACAGGACACACTTTAAAATGCTTAAAATAAAGAATTACATAAAAATACTTTATTAACATTGCTCTATTAAAATTAGGCTTTTCTTATCAAGTGTCATGAAAAACAAAACAAAACAAAAAACAGATTTGACAATGTACCATGTCACGGTTTCTTATAGTATTTTTATTTGATTTGGAAAATTGAAACTTTAAGGTAATTGGGCACAAAAGGTGAATTTACATCATGTTTCATTGGCAATCCACTCTTAGCAAGGTTAGAAGACTGCCCACTACAAAAGTGCATTTGCACTCTGAAACCATGCATAGCTACTGAGTGTGCTGCGATGAAAACCTCTGGATTCTGTACAGTGTTACAGCAGATCAAGAAGACCTTGTGCTTTATTTGAACATGATTTCATACATTTTTTTAAGAGTAATATGACATCCAGCATCTAATCCTCTTACATTCACAATTCAGTCTCTGCAACATCTCATTAGCTGTGTTTGGTTTCGACTATTCGAAACCAGAAGATAGAGTGATTAAGCATGGATATTCATGTAATGTCAAACATTCTACAGTGATTTAGCTGTTGAGATTCTACTTCTACTGTGTTGTTACTAATTACTGGTGAAAACTAACCGGACAGCCTTAAAAGTGAAATCATGCCCCATTATTGTACAGAGTAAGGTATAAATATACAGAAGTATTAGATATGCAAGGTATTTATTATGGGTGTCCATGTGCATATTAGCAACTAATCCACCACTCATCTAATGGAAATCTATACTAAATTGACACAGTAGTGCTTTTTTGTACTGAAGTAGCTGTTTCTTTTGCATTATTCCTAGCATTTTAATAAAGCAACAAGAACAACAAAAAAAAAATCCTATTTACATATACACATGATATACATATTTGTCATGAATATCTATATTTCTTAATCTTTGTATAGGGAAAATAGTTCATGTTTTAATATTCTAAACCTTGTTACCCAAAACAATCACCTGAATGCATTCTGTGGAAGTCTGAACATAAATATCTGTATAAAATGTTTCTATTTCTAGGTCAGACTTACTGTAGATTACTCTTTTGTTACATGCTCTAATTAAGGCTAGAATTATCATCAAGCACCAATTTAAGTTATCATTGTGTGTAACCCTGAAGGATGAACTGATTTCTGCATTTGAGAAACTCCTAAAATTGAGTCTTCACATATTTTCAGGTACAAGGGACTAATTTATATTCCTCTAAAAATCAAATGAGACAGCAGTAAAAGGTTTAACATCATTATAAAGTTTTTTTCACCCAATATTAGAATTTGTGGTAGACAGGAAGCAGAATGTTGAGTGCTGGAAAAAAAGTATTTACCCTAAAATCTAGAAGGCTCTCAAATGAGTTGAGATTCCCAGTTTCAATTTCTGACAATTTTAATTTAACTATGATTTATAAGTAATACGGTAATCATTTATCAATTTAATAAATCAGGCCAGATTTGGAATTTGATAGAAAAAAAAGGAATTAATGAAAAAAAAAATCTAATTATTCTTGTCTATAACTTAATCTAAAGAAGTAACCTCCCAAACAACCTACTGGTGAAAAATCACGTGATTTAGACGAGTCTATGAATTATTGCATTTGTTCCCATATAAAGATGTTGCAAACTTGATGGGATTCGTTAAAAGGTGCTCAGTATCGGTCCTTTGGTGCACACACTGTAAGGAACAGTGGCTCTTCACATCCTGCCAAATCAGATCGGATTATTCCGCTCCGAATCATCTGAGATGATGTGCTTAATTAAAAAAACGTCACAGACTTTAATGTTTCTTCAAAAGTGCTTTCATGTTCAATTTGCCTATCAACTAAACCCCTTACAGAGTTCAGCATCAAAATGATTCCATCTTGACAAAACTCATTTATAGATCATATAAGCTCAAATAAAATCATATCGATTATGAATTGAGCTGTTCTCCCTCATCATTAAGTTTAATAGTGCAGTTTCATCTAGAAAGTTAAAAGCTGTCTGTGCTTTTAAGGCCTTTAAAAGCTTGAAACGTTTTGTCTGCTTGAGTGGTGTGACCTAATTAAACTTAATTGTGATAGTGGTATAAATCACCTGAGCTCTCAGGAAATGGTTGGAATATTTTTATAAACTGCATTTTGTTTTGAAAGAAAAAGAAATTGCATTTGATTTGTACTTGTAGAGGATAATATGAAGACTGATGGTGAAAAATGCAAGCTTTTGCTGTGAAACTGTAGATTTGTACAAATTGTATTTCTGAAGCACTTACAAAGTTTAGCCTTTTACTAGAATGACTAATGCATTGGAAATTGCTCAAATTAGATTAGTTGCCTAACTGGGTCAAACATCAAAATCTTCTCAGTCTGTTAGATGTACAAAAATCTCCACTTTGCCATCTCTGACATCTAAGATTAGCATTAATTTACACTAACACTGCAGCTTTTATTTTACCATAGACTCAATAAAACTCCTTTAGTTCAGTCATACATGATCTCTGGGGTTTTGCATTGAACTAGCTTAGAACTGTTAAACTGACAGTGTTTGTTACTCATCTCTCAATGAAACAAGGTCCTTGTTTTTAGAGGCCACTCTGGGTTCAGCTTGTGCTGCAGGATACTGTTGTGCAATGTTGAAAAAACACTGTAGCACAAAAACAAAGAATGTGAAGAATCAGCAAATCATGCACTGCTGAGACAACTTCACAGCACAGAAGAAGGCTTTTGTCCAACTCTTTTAAAGACTGATACCCTCCATCTCTGATTTGGTACAGGACATTTGGTACTTTTACACCAAGGTAGCTCCACGGCCCCAGGATCGTCCATGCACACTCAGTTGGGTATATTTCGTGCTGAAATTGGTTCTGTGTAAACTAAAGTCCACTCACACACATAACTTGAATTGCTCACATATAAAGTTCTGCAGAGCATGGAAGCATATACCAATCAAAGCCATGCATCCTGGTAGAACAGCTGTAACAGGGAGGGAACACATACATAGGAAGTAGAGGCTGGAGGTTTTGTGCTTTAGAAGCTGAGAGAAGTTAGCCATCTCACCCACTGCCACCTGCTCATCTAAGCCAACCTAACACCCTCCAAACAAAAAACAAAAAACTACCAGATTCCTAGAAGATCTCAGGACAGTGACCCCACTCTTGTCTCTCTTTAGCTTCCCAGTAGCCACCTCTGTACATGTAGGATGTTTCTCCGGTGTTTTCGTCTGTTCTCTTCTCAAACCACACTGGCTGGTAACTTTCCACATCTTGCCCTGAAAGCAAAGGTAAACAACCTTAGGAAGGAGAAAACTTTAAAATATATATATATTGCTGTTTCTTCCAAAATATAAATATCAAACACAAAGTCAATGTGAAGTTCATGATTTTTAAAACCTTTAGCCCTATTTTATTACTAAAAATCTGTAAAGAAAATATGCAATTTGTAATAAGTGAGAAGCTTGATTATCAATTTTATTTATACCTAAACTTTGACTGGGCCATTCCAAGGCATGGTTGTACCACAAATGCATTTCATCGCATAGTCAAACTATTCTTTTTCATGCTGTTCATAGCTGCGCTGCCGCAGTAGAACTAGTCCGTTAAAGTGAAACACTACATCCTTTTTTTATATGAGCTTATATTTAAGTCTAGCAGGGAAATGGGGGCGGGAACTTGCGTGGGTGAAATTATGCTGCAAGGAGTCTAGTTTAAAATAACATTGTAGCTCATTTAAGAATATCGTGATATACATCAGGTATCATCATATAGCAACAAATATATCAGGATATTAGATTTTCCTCATATCCCCCAGCCCTAGGTCCAAGTACTCGCCTTCTTCCAGAGCCTGGTTAGCTTGTGCCTCCCTTCTTTTCCTCTCCATTCTCTGGTGGTCCTCAAGTCGCTGCTTCTCGATGTTCGCCTCGTCCCACAAGCCCGCCTCCATCAGCCGCTGGTCCGGTCGCAGACGGCTGTCAGTTGGGGCGACACCGTCCTCTGGCTCGTTCAAGGTCAGTGCCAGGGTGGAAAAATAGTGCATGTTCTCTGCATTGTCACTGAGAAGAGATGCAGAAAAGAAGAGTCTTCGAATGTGCGCTTACAGAAGTCATGTAGATTCAGGAGCAAAGTTTTAGATTTCAGAAACCCACGGAAGAGGGTATTTTTTCCACAGGAGTTTGGGTTGAAGAGTCTGATAAACAGTTTTTTGTTTGCCTTCTGAGCCTCCACATCCCCGGCTGCTTTCCACTATTTTTGCACTTTCCATTTTGTCATCCCAGGTTCCTGACAGGATGTAATGGGCTGTTCCCTCTCTGTCCTCCACCACGCCGGTTACCTAGAGAACGAGAACAAAGAAGGTCTGGCTACACAAGACTCCTTAAAAGTCTGGAATAGTACACTTATGTGTTGTTGTTTTTTCTGGAAAAAATAAATATGCATCTCATTGTGATAAATATCAAGTGTACCATCAATCAAATCTTGTCCTCCCTTCTCCCTTTCTTCCTTCATCCCTCGTCTCTCCTCAAATGGAAATTGAATGTTGTAGTAAGTTCTATTATTCAAGGTTCTTCAAATAGTTGTAGATGCTGATGGTTTCGGGCAGGATAGATCTTTTGTTAGCAGTCTTTGTTACAGCGGCTCTGAAAAAGCCTCTGACAGTTTTATAAAGAGGACTCTCAATATGAGGAATGTCTGTAACATTCCTAATTTTATAAAGAATCCTTTTTTGCAAAATTATCAAACCCAATAATCCTTTACTTGCTGCTCTTTCCTTCGCAGTCCTTCAATCTTTCCTGGTCCTTACTTCTTTCCTTACACCTGGAACTCAAGACCCGATGCAGAATGTAGAAAAGTGTTTTATATCAACTTGGAAAATATGTAGGAACCATGTTTAGATGCATTTTCTGCTCTGTCTCAACACTGCTGGCTACTATATGTTTAGCGACTCCTTGTCTGTAGCTGAAACATACTTTTCGTGGAACTTCCCTGGAGAAGTAGCTGTATGGGGAGAATTTGAGACGGCAGGTGTCCTTTGTGGTGGTGTTCACAATGTCGATGTCTCCAGACTGACATGTGGACAGGAAGAGGAAGAGATGCGTCAGATATAATGCAGACGAGCTTCTGCTTTACCTCTTCAGTTGTGATTTATAAGCTGAAACCAACCTGATCGATCCAAAGTTTCCCTACAATGATGTTGTGCACTGTGGAAGTCACTTTGCTCCACACGTAATGGTTTCCACTTGAGTGGAACTGCAGGTGAATGTTACCTGTGGTGAAGACCAAAACACCCAAACACAATCAGTCTGGATTTTTTGTAAAATAAATGTGGCTAATGTTTGTTAACACAGCATCTTTTTGGCTCCTTTGGAAAACTTTATAGGAAAACTTCTATTACACGAGCATTATCTTTAAACTAGATCAGTGAAAAAAAATAGTTTGTTAAAGAAACCTGTGACAGATTCCATCTGTTAATATTTTTGCCAAGAGGAACACAATACATTTTCTATAACATTTTACAAGATTGGGGCAAATAGAAGGTGCAAATTGCTGCCAACTGTTTCTTACCTAATGGCAAGACAGAAATATATTTCCCCCGAAACTTGCTATCAATAGTTATGTACTGCCACAGAGTCCATCCTCGCTCTGACGCCACATGGTGGGCCGCAGCTGGTGGATGATGGCTGACCTAAGATTTAACGGCATCAGTGAAAGTCATTAACTGTCGAGCTATTACATCATTTGAATGTTCAGATGGATAAATCAAATGTGCAGTGACAGAAAATCACGATGGATGGATGAGTTTATGTCTCGCCTGCTCAGAGATGGAGCGATAGCCGTACTCCTCCAGTCGGTCCAGCTCGTAAGTCTCCCCCAGCAGAGGGTTGAAGGGCTTGGCGGTTCGATGGACTGTGGTTGAATAGGACGAGACGGAAAAGGCAGCCACGAGGCACATCTGCTCCACAGATGAGTCGCAGCGAGCCGCCCGGTCCAGCAACTCGCTGTACTCCAAATCCTCAGTCAGACGCTGCAGCATCGACAGCGGCTCATTAAAGTTTACCTGCAAGAAGGCACGTCATTTGTTGGTGTAGAGAAGAAATTCACCTCTAGAGTATCAAAAGAAGAGCCTGCTTCCTTATTCTTAAATGTGCAAAATAGTATTTTGATTTACAGGCATGGGAATCTTGGATAGGTCCTTTCCGATGCAGTTTTTCATGATGCTCCACAAGTTGAGGGAGTAGTTTGGTTTATCAGGTATACGACTGCGTCTTGTTCTTCGTAGTTGCATTTGGTTTGTGCCTGAGGTGTCCTTCAAATGACAAAAATAAATATTTTACATAAGAACTACCTCTTGAATTTTTTTCAATACCTTGTCAATGTCATTATATTTATTTGGATTTTATGGGACAAACCAACATGAATTGTGAAGGGACAGGCCAACTATAGCTAATAAAAATCTAAAAACTTTGGTTTAAATTTGTATTCAGCCCCTTCTACTGTGATACATTCTGCTAATTTTACTTTTGAGTATCAATCTGTTGAGAGGAAATTTATTAGTTGTGCACTCTTGACCACTGTCAAAAGAAAGGTGTAAGGTGTAAACTCTGTTTACAGATTACAATAAACAATGTAGTATACACATTAAACTTGCTGTAGAAGGTGCTCATCGATATTTATCTTTTTGGGCTGAATACAAAATGCTACGAGTCTCAAGCTGTGGAAATGGTTTTCTTCAGCAAAAACAAGAAAGCTACTCAGAGTTGATGGGAAGACAGATATTTGCATTCATAACATGAGAAAATATAAACTAGTTAAAAAGGTAAAAATACTATTACACATTAAAATAAAGAGACAAATTTTACATTCAGCCAAAATGGTTTGGACTTACACTCTCATTGTGAGTCCAGTCATTGGGCACTCCTCCACTCATCATACTCTGGTTACTGCCTGAGCGCCTGAAATAAGGCAGTGGGACATAAAGGAAATACTAGTTGCCAGTGACATGCAGTGAGAACAAAACTCAAAAATAGAATATTATATTTCATAATTGGAACATTTGATTGTTTTAGCAGCTACTAAATATGCTCCAATCAACTGCATGCTGTTCAACAATATAGTAGGAAGAACAAAAAAACTCTGTCAAAATTATTTTTTTCTTGTTTTGGGCTTTTTCATATATATAAAACAAAATGTATGATTTTACTTATATTTGTATACAAATATAAGCCCATGTGCCTTTCCTCCTTCAGATATATCTCAAGTCACTCAGTCAAAAATCTTCTGTTTCTTTGTTGGCCTTCATTTTTAAAAACTTGGCTGCTTTAATGGAGATAATCACCAATGATTACAGTAATCCTGGATTGGTTTAATTTTAAATGTATATTTTGTATTTTTCCTGCTCATTTTCAGTATTTTTAGTGCATAGAAAAAGACCATCAGTTGTCCATTGTACCTATGGGGCTCAGCACTGCCCTCTACCAGTGCAGCATGATACTTCCTGCCTCACCCTGCATATTTCAGTGTGCATTTATAGTTTAGCAGAAACACCAACTATGTCACACACATTCATTAATTATACAGACATCAGCATGTGCAGCACACGTGTAATCAAATATGATTTTATTTCTTCATAACGACAGATGAGGCACTGCTTCACCTATGCCAGCTAACTGCAGGTCAAGGACTGTTACTGTAACTAAAGCACAGCTCTAGCTGAAATCATCGAGTATCTACTGAACGTGATGCTCCCTACTTGTGTCGGATACTTCCAGTGGTAGTCACAGTGATGAACGAAGGGGCGTCCTCCATGGCATCAAAAAACTCCGCTTCTTCATTTTCATCACTCGCATCACCCTCTTGAGATCGCTCCACACCTGCAGGAGCAAACGTGGGACATGTTAGCATAAAAGGCTTCAATGTCCAAGGATTGTCAGTTTGTATTTTGGAAAAATTGTTCATTATGTAGACTGTTGGTACATTTTGTTGTCAAAACATGAGCTCTAATTTGTTTTGGTTTAATATTGCCATTAAAATGTTGAATTATGAGAAATATCAGAAGATAATTACTGAGATCTTTTTAGTTTATTGTAAACAATTTGAAGCCAACAGGACTGTAGATATCCAACATTTAAAATAGTAAGTAATAATGGCTTTATTTGATAAAACAGCTGTGTGTAGCTTGGTAAGGGTCAGGATACTGCAGAACAAACAAAAAAATTGACTAGCTTGGTTTATCTGCAAGTTTAACTTGTCAGAACTATCTGTGCTTTGTCATAATTAAATTGTATAGACAGGGAAGTTAGCCAAAAGAAAAACAGTTTCAAGTGCAGCTTTTTTTGTGAAGTTTAAAAACAAGTTTTTTACAACTGATAAACTGACTTCCAGGTTTTACAACAACTCTTACCTGTCCGAGTTGAAATGCTTGGAAAAAAAATGTGCAGATTGACAATTACTGGATCAAAACTCTAAGGATCACAGATTTCAGCATATTTAAATTAGGCCACAGTTAAAATCTCAACTTGCTGGAAATTATTGAAATATACTCTAAAAAAGTTATGAAAACAATACTTCTTAACTATAATAAAGCATCCATGTTTTCACCATTACATCCACATGATTCCATGTGATGCTGTTGATGCAATAAGAAAATAATTCAATTTATGTAATAAACTTTAGTAGGACTAAGCATGTTTAGTTGGAACTTATAATTATGATCAATGTGTTGATTTTTTTACTCAGAACATACAACAGCATTCACTTTGTTCTGATCTGAAACAGAACAAAAGTAATTATGAAATAATCCAATCAGTGCGTTGTAATTTTTAGATTTTAACATATGATAGAAATCGAAGCTTTATCAAAACATGTCTCAATAAAATAAAACCAAGTATTGCAGTTATGCTGCTATGTTATACAAGATTGTTTTTATGTCAATCAGCTTCAACAAAAAGAGTGTTAAGATTTAAAATCTTTTCAATACCTTAAAACCACCAGGTAAAAAAAACAAAGTGTGACCAGTGGAAGAGATGGAAAACATTAAACTTTTGTTTTGTTTTTTGTCCCTGCAAATTAGTTGAAAGTAATTATGTAAATGCATTTTTAACAAATTGATTGAATGAATGTCTATATACACTAGAGAAAATTGAATAAGGGAGAGTAAACCCTCCACAGAATAGATAATTCAGCTTTAAAATTATAAGGTTCAGCTGCAAGACCTCCCAACATGTTTTTTTCAACCATGCTGTTGCTGCCTTTACTAAATCATCACTTTATTCTTTTTATTTAAGGCATGGAAATATGTAAAATTGAGTTCAGGTAGTTTTTTAAGGATTTATTGAAATTACAAGACTTGAAAGTAGTTTAACTCTTCTGAAACAATGTGTTCCTTGTTAAACCAAACCAGCAGCGAAGTAGCAGAAATCTTACACACTTTGCACATCGTAGGTACTGGATGTTCATTTATGTGGCAATGGCAGTGATGCGTCACCTGCATATGAGGTGGGATTCTCCCTCCACGCTCTCTCCAGGCTGTTGTGCTGTTTGGCTAACTGTTCAATGGTCTCCTCCAGATGGTGGCGCTGTTCTCTCTCATAGTGCAGAGCCTTCTGCCACCGCCGACTGTGAGATTCCGCCACATCCAAAAAGTCCCGACAAGCCTGAGGTGTGAACACAACAAACATCAAAGCACATGGCGAACTCCGAGGCCTCGCTGCAGTCCCTCACCAAGAGACATAGGCAGCTAATCAGTTTAGTCTTTAAGCCTTTACACCAGCAGAGGTATGAGCTGCGCGAACTCACATTGATCATAGCATTAGAGGTGATGCGGAACAGGGTGGCTCGCTCATTAACGGCTTTCACTCTGTCCGTGCCTTCGGTGGGCCCACGCAGGTCTTCAAGTTCGCTGAGGGAGCGCTGGAGAGCGGCGCCGTGCTTTCCGATCAGCTCATTACAGGTGCTCAGATCCTCCAACTTAGTGGTCAGGGACTGCAGTGCTCCTTGGGTGAGGGCACGGTCCTCCTGAGGCACAGGGGTTTCATCTCCTGAGTCATCTTCACACAGAGACACCAGTGCAGCAGTTTAAAAACTGACCGATTCAAAACATGCCTGAACAATCTGTGTGTTAATTATGATGAGATTCCAGATTGGAGTAGACAGCACAGTCTGTCACGAGACAGACTAACAAAAGATGCTTTAAATGCTCTAAAGATAGAATGAGCCGAGTTAATGGGAAATGGATGGGGAAGGATAATAGCACTTCACACCCAGATCTCTAAACAACCCATCTTCCAAAATATCAGAAAGCTGTGAATGAACACTGTTGCCTTGGAAACGTGGGCATATGCAATCAGGAGGCAAGGCTATTTTTAGATGGAGAGAGAAAAAAGGATGACGCATTACCCCTTTTCCTCCTCTCTCCTCTCTCTCTTCCTCTGGCTGGCATGAGCCGAGCTGCGAGTCTTTAGTCCTTTCAGAGCGTTTCAAGGAGACCGGATTGATTACTTGGCATTACAAGGCATATTTACAATATAGAGTGCTTCATTCTCCTTGAACTTTTGAACATTTTGTCATGTTACAACCACAAACTTCAAATTGTTTCATATGGATCTTATCTGATAAATCCATACAAAGTGGCATATCATTTTTAAGTGGAAGGAAAATTGTGTTTTTTGTGATTTACTCAAAAAAATCATTACATTGCATTTAGTCTCTTGAATACCCCTAACAAGTAACCAGACTCCACATTTATGTAAATTAATCTCAGTTTAACTCTTTCATGAAAGCCAAAAAATTTTATAGGCAAAAATTAGTAGGCAAGCAGCATTGTGACCTCTGAGTCTGGGAGAAAAGGAACACATCACACTGACAAGCCTGGAAGAAAACTTGTTAAGAGGCTGCGAAGGACAGGGGTGGAAGTTCGCCTTTCAACGGGATCAGACAAATGCCAAACAAGACTATTGCAAGACTGGGACATTGATGTTTACGGAACCTCTTGGTTTATTTTGCATTGAATATAACACTTCAGTTTTTATCCACAAAAAAATTTAAAACTTCTATCTTCAGGGTCTATTCCACTGCCAAATTATAATAATTTCAGTTGGTTTGTCACATAAACTAAAATACACTAGTTTATGGTAATTATGTAACACCTTAAAGGTTTACATCTGCCATAATCTAATGTGGTGCTGCTCCTGTTCCTTGAAATATAGAAATATTGGGGGTGGATTCCTTGGATTATTAAAAAACAAAATGAAAGAGAGCAAAAGTATGACAACTGCCATAGAAATAATCCATCTTATAAATATACACAACGTAATGAAATGTTTCTAGGTCACAACTTTCTCTGCTAAACAAAACTGTGCATGATAAATCCCAGGACACACAAGTGCATAGTTTGAATCTAGGCCAGTATAGTTCAGTGTACGAGTTCAAAAGCATGGAGACAAACTACCAAACCCTATGAAAGGAGGAAGAAAATAAAAAACAACAATCAGGGCAAATTGGATTAGTGAAGTCCCTAGAGAAAAATGATTAAAAATGAGTGAAAAAAAACTTCAAGCTGTAATGGTTCCATGACCCACATCTAGCAGATTTCTGCTGCTCAAGGTGGTAAGAAATCGAGTTCTCCGAGGCCATCTGCCATCCAACATGTTCATATGGAGATGCAAAGCCATTAAGCTCATCCTAGAACTGTGATGAACGTGTAGGGGAATGACACACAGGGCTGATGAGTGCTGCAACGGGTTGTTTTCCACATGGGAGTCACAGGAGAGTCTGAGAGCAAATGGTGACTCATAGTTAAATCACAAGAAGACACCCACAGGTGATAAAGGGAGCGTCATAACGGACAGAGAGTGGGAGGAGAGTCAATCTGTGCGTTTGCACAGCACAACACCTATTTTTACAGATTCACGAATGCAAAGCTCATGTGTGCTTACCATGTGGCGGGTATCACACAATAGGTGCCTCACTTCTTCTGTGAGCTCCACTTAATTACTGCCGTTTTGATCCTTTCAGCCAATTAATCTGCTCTGGGACAGAGCCCTGCAGCTGCTTATGGAAGAGTAATCTATAATCACCTCACCAAAACGCACCAGGATTTGCACCCCCGCTTACTGTAGAGCCAGATAAAATGAGCATCCACTAAGCCTTTCAAAATTGACAACAGAAAACGAAGCATATTGTGATTTCTGAACTGTCTATGACCTCAGATAGGATGCAAAACTAGGTTTATAAATGAGGCTCTAATGACTGACAAAAAAACAAAATCTTCAAGGAAAACATTGATTTGCATCTTGCAGATACAACCCTTTCCTACAGCATTGAAGAGTGCTAACAAGCACTTCTTGGGGCATTGATTTGTACAACTGCTGCATTTAACAGCCTACTTTTTAAAAGGACTGTCATTCAGCCTGTCTCTAACCACACATTGGTGAAACTAAATCAACTACAATGAGACACTAATAAAAGAATCACAAATTAAACCCCAAAAAACCATCGTAAAAGATCTACCTGGAATCCTATTCTGCTGAATATATATTAAAAAAAAAAAAAAAAAACATCTTACTTACAAGGCGACACTCATTGAAAAAGATGCATTGCCATCTCCTTATAGTCCATGAGTGGAAAATATTTCAATGAAAGACTCTCCACATGCCTGCTATGCCTCTCCCTCTCTTTTTTTCCTTTTTTTTTCCTTTAACCCTCCTGCTACCAGAGGAGGAGGAGGAGTCAGGAGAGGAAGGTCATTTTATTCAGCACTCACTGCCACAGTGAAGGAGACAGGGTGAGAGATGGGACTGCACAGTGGAGGGGGGAGGCATGAATGCACATCTATATGATTTTTTATTTTACTTTCATTCCAAAGGAAGAGTTGATGAATTCAGTATTTGCTCATTTGATTCACATCCCATTCATCCTAGTATTATGAAAAAATTATGTTTGTAGCAAAATAAAATAAATTTTTAAAGGAAATATCCTTTTGCCTTTAATTAGCCTTGTCACAGATAGTTTGGTAACACTGCCCTCTGATGTTCAGATGTTGAAATTGCACTTGAAATGCTGAAATACAGGCTTCTGAGAAAGTGGGTTAGTTATCGGAACGGTATTGCTTCTTTAAAAAGATTGTTTTATAGGTCAGGCAGTCTGAGATAAAATAAAATAGAATAGAATTCAACTTTATTGTCATTGCACTGTCACATGTACAAAGCAACAACATGTAGATAACACAGAATTAAAAAAATACAATGATATTTCCAAAATGATTAAATTTGATCACAATATATTTGTGAAGATGTATCAAATACGGAAAAAAAAAAACATTGGCCTTACCTGAGTGATGCACCAGGAGCGTGGCATTAGCCTTTGCTTGTTGCAGGGCTGACACCCATCTCTGACACTCCCCCTCAGATGTGGCCTTCAGGTGGTAGGTTCGGCCTCCGCTGGTCAACACAAAGTGACAGGTGTCACCCACCTCGATGTGAGCTTTGGCCAGGGGAATAGTGCCTCTGCAAGTGTGCGCCATCTCTGCCTGAGTCCTGATGGAAAAAACAACCCAGACCGAGAGGTTAATAAAAGTTGTGTGAAAGAAGAGCAACACTTCTAATCTGTTTTGTCTCTGCAAAACAGACACATTTCTAAAATCTTATCAGTTGTCTTGATAGTATTACTAGCTCAGCACCTCCCTGATTACCCGTGTCACATTCCTCAAGGGAACTACAAATTGAGCTATTGCTGCTGTTATCTGTGTACTTTTTTTTGTTTCAACTCAAAGAACTCCAGATCAGTTTTCTTTTTTGTGTCCAAGTTCTGTCCTCTCAACACCAACTTAGTCACAGCAAATGTACAGCATTTCTGCTGGAGGTTTCTTCCTTCAATCAATCAAATTTTATTTGTATAGCACATTTCAGCAGCAAGGCATTTCAAAGTGCTTTACATCATAAACAAAAAAACACAAAGTCATGCATCATGAAATAAACAATTCAGTCACCACATGCTTCCTCAGATGGGTAACCTAACTCACAAGTAACTTGTATGACTGAAAATATTATGAGACTGGCCTTTATTTATAGCTGATTCTGAATATGGCCATATGTTTGGGTGACTTTAGAGATTTACCATATAATGCATTGCCTTCAACTTTGCAAAGTTCTCCTTCAGTTGAAGACCCATTTGTTAAACCTGAAGTTCAACTAGTTTTTATGCAGTAAGATTTATATCTTTTAATTCTAAGCGTCATGATTTCATTGGCTGAAGATATAATTCTGTGTAAATCTATAAAATGTGTTTGACCTGGTGATTTGAGATATTGAAATAAAGGAACATTTCAATAACATTCTGACTGTGCAGTCACATAAAATAAAAATAGACTCATTTTTTTTGGGAAGGATTCCCCCCCAGTTGTGGTAGTAGTTCATTTTTTTGAGACAATCAGAAAAGACTAAAAGTTTGATTTTACATCCGCCTCCCCCAAAAAAAAAAAAACAACTGTATGAGATCATCTTTACAAATATGGCGTAAATAATTCCATTTTCTAACTGAAGAAACACGGAGTCCATTGGGTGGCGCCCTGACCGTTAGAAACCGTTACCTGTAGTAGGACAGCAGGCCGTTGCTGAGGACGAACCAGCGCCGCTGGTAGCCCTTCAGGTAGTTGGTCCATTTGAAGAGCCAGCCCTTGTGGGTGTCCAGACAAGGCAGGTGGAGCCCCGGGAGAGTCGGGGAGGGCAAGCTCTTCACCAGCTCGTTCATCTGTCCCCTCTGGGCAGTCCGCGTCCCTCCAGCGGGATGGACGGTGCAGCTGGTGTGGAGTTGTAAACAGCTGTACCTTTAGCTAGCAGCAGCAGCACGCAGACTGTAGTGTGTTGTTAGCCTGCAGTTGTTTCTGTGCGTCCCTGTGAAGTGAGGCGGACCTACTTTTAAAAATGGTGACTCTGGTATTTTTAGACGTGAAGGAAATACTGAACCACAAACACTGCACTGTAATGCACTCCTGATAAAGCCCGTGGACGCTGGAGAAGGGAGAACAAGATGACGTCCGTATTACAGGACTGTAGCTATGGATGCACATTTCCCCCCTCTCTCCCTACGTGTATGCGCACGTGCGTGAGAGTTTGTGCACGCGCTTGACATATGGCACTTTCTGCTGTGATGTACAAAATAGATGCTCAAGGCAAGGCAAGTTTATTTGGATAGCACATTTCAGCCAAAAGACAGTGTCTTACATGTGCGACCTTGGGTACAGCTTTGTTATGTGTGGAGAACCTTAAATCCTCTTTTTACCAAATCACACAGATAAGTTTGTAAAAATGATCAGAGGCGCTGTTGCAAATTAGATACAGTTTATTGAGATCACAAACGCCTACGGGCAAAAATGGTCAGTTTATTTTATTGTACAAAAAATGACCACAGTAAAAGTAGGACTCCTGGAAACCTTATAGCTGAAAACCACCGTTAAAACTCAATTAAATAAAGTTTAGACTGCTTGGGGGAGGAATAACAAGGAAAACAAATACACAAGTGTTCAACACACACACAAAAAACAACAACACAAAAATCCCTGGTGAACACAGCAAATAAAATAAACTCCTTTCCACTAGTGTCCTTAATCTACATAAAACACCTTGGGACCCAGGAATAGCATGCTTTTTATTTTTAAAACAAGCCAGGCGGCTAGATTATAAAAACTCCTCTTCCTTAGACAAAAAAAGTACTTTTGATCAATAACTATCCAGAAAATAAATTCTAAACACTGACAAAGAAAAACAAAATTGAAACAGTAGGGGGCCAAACTATACACTAACGAGATCAAGTTAGATCTTTAGTAGCCAAATAATAAGAAACTGCCTTTACCTTCTCTAAAGTGAAAACGCCAATAGCGCTCAGTACGTCACTCTCTACGTACGTCACCTGGATCGATCAAGTGGGGACATCAGAAATAATTCTAAACCCGCCTCACATTTAATATTAAACATACCTCTGGTTGAATCATCAGCCTGGGATCTGCGCCGATCTGCCTGCTTTTAAATGTAAATACTGATTACCTGTCTCCCTCACGAACTGTCACGGCGTCTTCCTTATATGGGCAAGAGGAAGAGTGCGCAGCACACTACTTCCGGGAGAACATACCCCGGCTACACATGGCAACACTGTGGAGACAGTTTCAGTACTTTTCTGGATGCTTGTTCCAGATTAGTGTTGACTTGAACAAAAAGACCTCTGTAGTTTGATGCAAAGCCATTTATTATTTTATAGACTAACATGTATTTTAAAGTCTTTTCTTTTGAGCGACAGGGAGAACAACTTTAGAACTTTCTAGTTTTAGTGAGGATGTGAGCAGCAGCTGTCTGATTTAACTTTTAAGCAGAACTGTGACATAATGTTCTGATCAACTCTACTAAAGATAAAGGCATGGATGAGTTTCTCAAAATCTTGCTTTAGTCTCTTCATTCTGGGAATGTTCATCAGATAAAGGCAAAGGTTCAGGTCTGAGTCCATCAATACACCCAGATTTCTTGATCCTTTTGATTTATTTCCAGAGAGGGATATATAAAGCAGCAAAAAAATCAATAGAACAGTGGCAGGCTGAAATATCACTGTCCACCAAATGTAGCACCCTGTGCAATTGAGATATCATGCATATTAAAAGTGATTTTGTTTTCAGAACTGCTCAGCTCTAAGATAGCATATCTTAGAGCTAAAGATGTGTCTGTTGTGAAACAAAGGATCAATTTATATGTTGCACACAGAAAATCTGTGATGTTATGAGCCTACATCGCTTCCAAAGGCTTAATACAAAGTAAAAACAGCATAGGCGGAAATATATGTAGAACTAGAAATTATGTAAAATAAAATAGTATGTTTCCCCCCAAAAAATATCGAATGAGAGATTTTCTGAGATAACGCTGCTGCTGTAATGGACTGGCGACAACCCGCCTCTCTATTTCACAAAAACCCAACATCTCTGATTCAGTTGCCTTTGTCAAAACCTTTATTTGACGCATCAGAGTGGTAAAATATTACTCTTGTACAGACAGTAAGTTAGATAAATATCATGAATCATTATCATTAACAAATGGAATAAGCTGTAAAATCAAAGAAAGATCTAACTATGGTTTCTAATGGTGTTTTTGGATCATGTTTATAATAACAAGGGATAATAAATGCAATAATAATAAGTAAATATGCAAATAGCAACAAGTGACTATTTTCATTTGGCATCATCACAGTCAGTAGTGAGAACTTTACATTGTACAATCATTTCTGCAAAGTGCTTTATGGTAAAAGAAATCTCTATAAAGGGTTGAAATGTTTAATGTGTTGTTGATTATGGATGCTTGCAGCTTTACCTTTATTACATGAAGAAGATAAAATGGCACCCCTTTACTCAATCTCTATGGCACTGCTTATGGTTTTGACTTGAGCTCTTTAAATACCAAGGATACAAAGCCATTTTACACAGCACAATGCAAATAAAATACGTTTAAAAAAATCACTCAGCTGGTGACAGAAGGTGCTGAGCAGTAACTCATCCAGAAAGTGACAAGGTCAACAGAGAGTAACATTGTTCTATACCTCCATCAGAGGTGTGCTGGGTAGAATAGTAAGGCAGTCAGCACAGGCCGATAGCATTTAAAAACCCATCAAAGTGATAAATGTTGCTACAAGAATGAGTTTCGGTTCAGAGTCTCGAGGGTTTGCTGTTGTCACAGAATGAATCATTTCAAAACCGTCACAGTTGTAAAGTCTGCTGAAGCGCACATCCACTGCTGCTTTAGGTGGGTTAAAGCAAGCCATCTTGCTCAAAAACCGAGGGCAACTGGGAGAAGTCGAAGGGCAGGAATTTGACACCGGTTCCATGGTAGAATTTGTTCTGAAACTCCACCCTGGGATCAAACAGAAAAACAACCAAGAACACTTTAATGTGGACAGAATAAACAGTCATGGTTTCTACATATCTGCCATATCAAAGTTTTCTTTGATTTTAAGCTCTGGAGAAAAGACTGGATCACAGTCAAATGATCAGATGGCTTGATGATTAAAATAGAAAGTATGATAGGAACTTATGTCTGGAAATACAAATATTTACAGTTTTTTTTTCTTTATTCATGCTGATTCACAGCAAGAACACACATTGATTCCTGACTTGTCAGGGCTGCTTAACATAGACTCACCAGTGAAGTCGCAGAGCATGGAGGAACGCTGATAAGCCTTCCATGACCAGCAGGATCGACACAGTGAGCGTGGCGAAAAGTCCGAACACAGGGACCAGAAACACCACCCCGACTTTTGTGGTGATCTTGAAACCCAGGCGCATCACCATGGCCCACAGCACCTCTGACAGCTCTGTGGAAATGAAGTGATTTAAGATAAAGAATCAGCAGAAGGAAAGAGGTGATTCTGTTATTCTCTGGTTGCACTTACGGGCGTGAGCCAAGCTGAGCGCCCACAAGCGCAGGTAAGATGCAGTGTTGGAAATGCAGCCCAGGCAGTACTCTATGGTGTGGATGGCCTGATGCAGCAGCACGTCTGCAAAGTCAAACTGCAAAACCGTACATGAAATGTTAACTTAATTTTTATAGTAAAAATCAAGTTAGGATAATCTATGCCTCCTGTTGTTCTCAGAGTTTTAGATCCATTTAACAAATTCAGATGATATTAAAATTTCTCCACAACTGATTCTTGTTCTGTTGTCCTACTTTCTCCTTCTTAATGTGCAAACAGCATTAACTTGTTGAAGCGGATGGAAAAAGCAGACATCAACAAAAGAGTCACTGTTCTCTGACCTGCTTAGGAGGAGCTTCTCTGCTGGTCACTTCATCAAACCCTTCCTCTTCATCCTCCTCATGAATGGACGTTATGGAGCCGTCATCCTCACTCACACGCCTCACCCTCTCATAACCCTGAGGTGAGCCAAGAAACTACAATGAACCCCTGTGAGCAGAATTGAGACAACCCAAAGTCTTTGACTGGACTTACTCTACGTCTGCGCAGGCCTTTGCCGCCGCGCTGCTGCCAGTACAAGTAAAGAGGTTTCCCCAGCAGCAACACGGGAACGCACATCACAGCAATCAGGAGGAGGAAGACCTGCAGGCCAGTCTGAGAAATGAGACCAACAAGATTAAACTCGAGCTTCAATAAAAGATTATAAATAAACTCGAAGAGTAGATGGTGCCAGCACATGCCTGTCCCGGATACAAAGGCGTCACATCCTTCCCCTGCATGACAAACATGTTGATGAAGTGGATGAGGATGCTGGGAGCCTGGCTGGAGTTGTGTGCACTGAAAGCCAACCACTTGTAGAGAATCATGAAGACCAGGTAGCCAAAGAGACAGATTAGGAAGAGCAGCTCGGGAAGAAACAGCAGATAAACACTGAATTTCTGTCCAAAATGCCTGAAAAGAGAGGACAAGGCATAAAAATGAAAATGTGTCAAGTCAAAGGCTTGACAAAGAGTTACAAAATCAATATGGCAACATTTTTCTGAGGAGTAAAAAAAAGATGTGAGTGGAAAATGCAAATCATTGCTCCGCTCTGGCAGAGGGCCATAAGCTTGTGAGGTTTATGGTGGTGAAGGGATGCCAATATTCACTGTATATTCATATTAATTGTAATAAAAATCTGTCAGGGTTTTTTGTTCCTGTGTTCCCCACATTTGTGTTTATTTACCAATTTTCTCCAACAAACCTCTAAGACTTTAAGGGGAGAGCTGTATTTATACTGATTAAATTAAATTCAAAAAATTTGGTTTGACTTTTGAAGACAAATTACCCGCACTGTATTTTATTTCAGCGTAAAGGTCAAACACAAAATGCAAGCTGTATTTACAAATGTAAGTTTGCAGAAAATGTGTGTCTGAATTTTTTTTTAAATTTTATATTTTGCATCATATCGCTGATTCAATGACTGTAAGTTGGAGGTTTTGTGTCTATCCATTTAAAAAAAAAACAACCAGACCAGCCAGCAGGGAGGAGCAGGGATGTTGTAGATATAGCAGAGGATTATCAATATTATGGGCATTATGTTACATCAAAGATGACAGTTATCATTTTATGAGTTTTAAAAAAGTTTTTTTTGAAACTCAAATCATCTTGAAAATTTTTTTTCTGCACAACTTTTTTGACTGTTGTTGATTTTACAACCAGGTTCCGCTCTTTTTCCACCAGCATCTTGAGAATGCCAGCTTCTAAATGTTAAACGGGTTTGAGATAATTGCGTGTAAAAGTGAAAAGCCTCTTACAAGTGGTTGAAGACACTCAGCACCACGCCAAAGCTCATGTGAATGACGCCGATGACGACTGACATCTTCATCTTGTACGAGTTGAGGAAGGACAGACGATTCACAGCCAGGTTCCAAATCTGATTGAACAAGAAAATAGCACCTGAGTATTCAAGGCCTGCAGCTGACTGTAGCTTTTGAGCATAACTACTCACAGGGTCAATGCCGAATGGATATGGTCCACTGAAAACACCACTGACATTTGGGTCTAATGTGAGCAAAGCGTTTGTTTGGACTGTTTTGTTGCTAAAAAGTAAAAAAAAGTGATCGTGTTATGAGGGATCTGTTACGACACGAAGTCTACTGCTCACTGATTTTTATGAAAAGGTTTAACATCATGCTTACGTCCACTGCTGATTGGTGAACATAGCCTTCACACTCCATGCAGAGCCAAATATATTTAGAGACTTGGAGAAACAGTCGTTGTAAATGAGTCCGGTGTAGATGGAGAAAAGTCCCATCATCAGGATGATGTAACGCCCATGGAAGAACATCATCCAAATCTGAGATCAACATAAAAAAAATAAAAAATAAATAAAAATGACAATCAAAGCTTCATTCAGGATAAAAGTGAGTATTTATTCCCACCTCATTACTAGAACGCTTCTTCTTTTGATTTTTCTCCATCAGCACCATCCACAGGGCGAAGAGGCTCATTATCGCGCCATGGCCGAGATCCCCGAACATCACGGCAAACAGGAAGGGGAATGTGATGATGGTGTAAGGAGCTGACAATAAAACACAGACATGATGAGTATTTTTTCAG